CTTGTACTGATTCCAAATTGGTTTGCTAATTCAATATTTCTTGGTTCAGGTTTACTTTTTTTCAACATACATAATTCGCGTTTTTGTACTGCAGTAATATATACACGTTTTTTGGAGGAGGATGATTGTTGAGACATTTTAAATAATTTTTAATTGTATAAAAAAATTTTTTTTTTTGATTTATAGGATTATTTTTAACATTTTAATCAATGGAATTTATTTTAATTTATACATTTTGAAAATTGACTTTATTATGAATCTTTGGAAAAATGATCTTGTTTTGTTTTATTGTTTAGAAACTTTGAAAAAATTGTTACTCGCAAATATTTGGACAAATAATCTATCAATTGTTGGTTTATTAATTTATTTTAGAAACTTGTTACTTGCAAACATTTGGACAAATAACCTATCAATTGTTTGTTTATTGATTTATTTTAAAAAGTTGTTACTCGCAAACATTTGGACAAATAATCTATCAATTGTTTGTTTATTGGTTTATTTTAGAAACTTGGAAAAGTTGTTTTTAAAATTCATGGATAATAATCTATCTATTGTTTGTTTTATTGCTTTATTTTAATACTGACCTTTGATTAAAAATAATCTATTTGATTGTTTGTTTTATTATTTTACTTGAAATTTTTGTCAAATCGGGAAAAGAAAATTTTTTTTTACATTTGTTTATCAATTTTGGTAATTTGGATAATTTCATAAATTTATATGTCACGTGAATCCGCTGTGACGAGATTAGTAGCCATATAGAAAGACCCCCATCCACAATCCGTTAACGTTGTGGAACAAATTTATTAATAAAATCCGTTATGGCAAACATTTTTAATTAATAAAAAAAGGGGCCAATATTTAAATCCGTTGTAACAAGAAATCCGCTGTGGCGAGGTCCGCTGTGACGAGGTTTGACTGTAGTACATAAATTTTTTTTATTCACATGATATTTTATTTACACGGATCATCCGAATATCCTATAATTTCTAAAATTTCAATCCGCAATCCGTTAGCACTTTAAAAAAGCCATCCGTCCATCCGGATTGTTTTGCGGATATCCGGATTGACCATCCACGGATCGCATCTCTAGTTTGCATTCAAATAAATAAAATATTAGATTCACTGTGAGATGTGGATTTGATCTCTCAATACTTATTAACAATGAAGTTTGTATTTGACTGTAAATGAATATCATTAATATTAATAAGTATTAATTACAACAAAACCTTTTAAAAACCAAATGACTGACATCACATACATTAAGAACAAATCTAAATAATCATGTCGCAAGTTGTTAAAAATTGAATGATTAATGCCACCATTAAGAAAAATGTCAAATGATTAAATTAATGATTTCTAAAATAAGATTTAGTTATGAAAATAACTTACTAAAATAAACCTGTCAAATCCTTCTGTCCATTAATGATATTTAATAATAAGAAAGCTACGCATTTTAACAATATATATGAATTGATTTATGAGCTGCTAATTCAGATATCTTTTTGTGAATTAGAATATTTATAATTTTGCGGATATTTTTTGTGATAATAAATATTAATGTTAATACGGGTATTTTGAACAGATTAAAAGTGAAAACTAAAATCAAAAGTAATAATAGAAAAAACAATAATGATAAAAATAATTTACACATGATTTCTAAATGAATAGAAGTCTGCTTCTGCGTGTCCATTTTAAAAAAACTCGATAATCATATCATATTGACTTGCAAATTTTTCCTTACTAGCATCATTTACAGCAGGATTGGATAATAACTAGAAACTTGTAAAAAAAAAGGTCCAAATCGCATGTTTATGCCCAGGAAAGATGTCTACAATGAGTCTGACAATATGACAAATAGTACAAAAGCTATTTGCATATATAAAAGGCAGATAACAATTTTCGAAAAAATGCAGAGTTGGCCTTGGGATGAAATGATATTTTTTCAGTTGTAGGAGAACTTGCAAATGCTAAAGAAAGTTTAATAATAGTATGTGAAATCGTCGAATGCCAACAAAACTATGAGCACAAATAATAATGGTGATGACAATGTTTGTAGTTCTAACTATTATTTATAGTATATTAAAAAAATAAAGGTGGTAGAAAGATTAAAACATTTTATAATTTTTTTTAGTACAAGAAATTGTGTTAGATTGGCATTATTGATGTTCTTTTACATTGTTCACTCAATGATTAATATTTTCCCAGCCAAGAGAGTTAAAGTTCGCGAAAATAACAAGAATGAAAATATAAATAGAAATAGTGAGACAGAATTGGATTTACTTAAAAAGTTTAATTGAAAGTAAGTTTTTGTTGTGGTTTAATACTATTACTAGATAAATATTTTGAATGGCCTTACACCAACCCGTGATACTTTTATAATTACAAAGTGGTGGTGTACCGGTTTTCTGAGTGGTGCTTTTTCGATTTTACAATACTCTCACATATAAATTGCTGATCTTCTGTTGAAATATATATATTAGATGCGTGTAACGCCTGTCTATCCATAAAAAGGTTCTTGACTATGCTGAAAAAAAAAAAAAAATAATATGCGAGACTTTTGGGGATTGAATGAAGTTACTTGCAATGGTTTTGTGTTACGTGGATTTTTTAAAAAAAAATTAAATGGATGCTGAAAAATCAATAAATTTATTAAACGAATTAATTAATAGAAGTGATTTGGATGCTGGAGTTGCTAAATCATCATATGGATTGCTTGAAACATTAAAAATCATACAAAATTGTACCAGTTGTAAAAAGGATGATATAAAAGAAAATGATTGTTTTTATGAATTTATAAATGAAATCTTAGTTGAGTTAGAAAAAGAAAAAGAAGAACAAAAAAAGAATTATATAATCAGGTGGTTAGACCATGAATTAATCGAAATAGATGATGTATTGAATGGAAAAGTATTATGTGAAGATTGCAAAGAAGAAAAAATAGAAAAATTAGCAAATAAATTATTTAACATGTCAAATGAATTAATTAATAGACGGGACTTGACAGTTAGCATTAGTGAATCATCAAATCGATTGATTGAAACGTTAAAAATGATACAAAATTGTACCAGTTGTAAAAAAGATAATATAAAAGAAGGAGGGTATTTTGATGTATTTTATAGATCAATAAATGAAATAGGAAATTACTTGATCATATTAGAAAAAGGAAACCATTTAATAATCCATCAATTAAGTGATAAATTAATTGAAATATATGATATATTGAATGAAAATGTATTATGCAAAGGTTGCAAAGGAGAAAAAATAGAAAAATTAACAAATAAGTTATTTAGCTCATTAAACAAATTAATTAATAGAAGCGATTTGGATGCCGGAGTTACTAATTTATCAGATGGATTGCTTGAAACATTAAATATAATACAATGTTGTACCATTTGTAAAAAAGATGATATAAAAGAAGATTATTGTTTTTATGAATTTAATAAATTAATAAATGAAATAGAAAATTACTTGGTTGAGTTAGAAAAAGGAAACCATTTAATAATCCATCAATTAAGTGATAAATTAATCAAAATTGATGATATATTGAATGGAAATGTATTATGTGAAGGTTGCAAAGGAGAAAAAATAGAAAAATTAACAAATAAGTTATTTAGCTTGTTAAACAGATTAATTAACAGAAGTGATTTGGATGCTGGAGTTACTAATTTATCAGATGGATTGCTTGAAACATTGAATACAATACAAAGTTGTACCAGTTGTAAAAAAGATAATATAAAAGAAAAAAATTGTTTTTATAAATTTAATAAGTCAATAAATGAAATAGGAAATTACTTGGTCACATTAGAAAAAGGAAACCATTTAATAATCAATCAATTAGATGATGGATTAATTGAAATAGATGATATATTGAATGAAAATGTATTATGCAAAGGTTGCAAAGGAGAAAAAATAGAAAAGTTAACAAATAAGTTATTTAGCTCATTAAACAAATTAATTAATAGAAGCAATTTGGACGCTGGAGTTACTAATTTATCAGATGGATTGATTGAAACATTAAAAATGATACAATATTGTGGTACTTGTAAAAGAGATAATATAAAAAAAGATTATTGTTTTTATGAATTTAATAAGTCAATAAACGAAATAGAAAATTATTTGGTTGCATTAGAGAAGGGAAGCCAGTCAATAATCCATCAATTAGATGATAGATTAGTCAAAATTGATGATATATTGAATGGATATATATTATGCGAAGGTTGCAAAGGGGAAAAAATAGAAAATTTAACAAATAAGCTATTTAGCTCATTAAATAAATCAATAAATAGAAGTGATTTGAATGCTAGAGTTACTGAATTGCTTGAAACATTAAAAATCATAAAGAATTGCACCAGTTGTAAAAAAGGTAATATAAAAGAAAAAACTTGTTTTGATGTATTCTGTAGATCAATGAATACAATAGAAAATTACTTGGTCACATTAGAAAAAGAGAATCATTTAATAATTAATCAATTAGACGATGCATTAATTAAAATAGATGATGTATTGAATGGAAAAGTATTATGTGAAGGCTGCAAAGGAGAAAAATTAACAAATAAGTTATTTAACTCATTAAATAAATTAATTAATAGAAGTGATTTGATGGTCAGCATTACTGAATCATCAAATAGATTGATTGAGACATTAAAAATAATGCAAAGTTGTATCAGTTGTAAAAAAAATAGCATAAGAGAAAAGTATTTTTATGAATTTCAAAAATCAATAAATGAAATAGAAAATTACTTGGTTGAGTTAGAAAAAGGAAACCATTTAATAATCAATCAATTAGATGAAGAATTAATTGAAATGGATGATGTATTGAATGTAAATATATTATGCAAAGGTTGCCAACAAGAAAAAATGGGAAAATTAACAAATAAGCTATTTAACTCATTAAATGAATTAATTAACAGAAGTGATTTGAATGCTAGAGTTACTGAATTGCTTGAAACATTAAAAATCATAGAGAGTTGTACCAGTTGTAAAAAAGATGATATAGAAGAAAAGCATTTTGGTAAATTCTATAGATCAATAAATGAAATAGAAAATTACTTGGTTGAATTAGAAAAAGAAAAAAGAGAACAAAAAGAGAATGATACAATAATCTTTTGGTTAGATGATGCATTAATTAAAATCTATCATGTATTGAATGGATATATATTATGCAAAGGTTGCAAAGGAGGAAAAATAGAAAAATTAACAAATAAGTTGTTCAACTCATTAAAAAAATTAATTAATAGAAGTGATTTGAATGCTAGAGTTACTAAGTCATCAAATGAATTGCTTGAAACATTACAAATGATAGGGAATTGTATCAGTTGTATGAAAGATAATATAAAAGAAAATTGTTTTTGTGAATTTAATAAATCAATCAATGAAACAGAAAATTACTTGGTTGAGTTAGAAAAAGAAAAAGAAGAACAAAAAAAGGGATATATAATCCATTGGTTAGATTATAAATTAATCAAAATAAATGATGTATTGAATGGAACAGTACTATGTGAAGATTGCAATGGAGAAAAATTAACAAATAAGTTATTTAACTCATTAAATGAATTAATTAATAAAAGTGATTTGATGATTAGCATTACCAAATCGCCAAATGAATTGCTTGAAACATTAAAAATGATAGAGAATTGTACCAGTTGTAAAACTAATATGAAAGAAGTAAAGTATTTTGATGAATTCTATATATCAATAAACAAAATAGAAAATTACTTGGTTGAGTTAGAAAAAGAAAAAGAAGAACAAAAAAAGAATGATATAATCTTTTGGTTAGATGATGCATTAATTAAAATAGATGATGTATTGAATGGAAAAGTATTATGTGAAGGTTGCAAAGGAGAAAAATTAACAAATAAGTTATTCAACTCATTAAATGAATTAGTTAATAGAAGTGACTTGATGGTTAGCATTACTGAATCATCAAATCGATTGATTGAAACATTAAAAATAATGCAAAATTGTACCAGTTGTAAAAAAGATAACATAAAAGAAAAGTATTTTGATAAATTTCATAAATCAATAAACAAAATAGAAAATTACTTGGCTGCATTAGAAAAAGGAAACCATTCAATAATCCATCAATTAAATGATGAATTAATCGAAATAGATGATGTATTGAATGGATATATATTATGCAAAGGTTGCCAACAAGAGAAAATGGAAAAATTAACAAATAAGCTATTTAACTCATTAAATGAATTAATTAATAGAAGCAATTTGAATGCTAGAGTTAATAAATCATCAAATGAATTGCTTGAAACATTAAAAATCATAGAGAGTTGTATCAGTTGTAAAAAATATTATATAAAAGAAGTAAAGCATTTTGATGTATTCTATAGATCAATAAATGAAATAGAAAATTATTTGGTTGAATTAGAAAAAGAAAAAGAAGAACAAGAAAAGAGATATATAATCAATCGGTTAGATGATAAATTAATTTACATAGATGATGTGTTGAGTAGAAAAGTATTATGCAAAGGTTGCAAAGAAAAAAAAATTGAAAATTTAAGTAATAAATGTGGAAATGAAGAAATTGCTAGATTTCTTTATGAATGTAAACAAAATTCAGGTAATATTCGATGGAATCCATTTAATGAATTTGGAAATATCAAATATTTAGCCAAAGGTGGTTTTGGTGAAGTTCATGAAGCAATTTGGATTGGCCATTATGACGATTCAACCTATGGTGAATATAATGAATATAAAGTTGTATTAAAAAGATTATATAATTCAACTAATAAAATTTTGGATATTTTAAAAGAGGTAAATAAATGTTTAATATTAATATATTAATTACTCCTTTAAACATGAATTTAAGTGGTGATATTTAACTTTTTTAGTTAAAAGCAAATAATGAATTTAGAAATAATGCTGTTCCATGTTATGGAATTACTAAAGATCCAAATAAGAATGATTATTTGTTGGTATTTCATTATGCTCCATATGGAGATTTACATAATTATTTATCAAACAATTTTAAAGAAATCACTTGGAAAGATAAAATTGGGTCACTTTGGTGGATTGCAGTTGGGTAAAGTTTTTATATTTTTATTATATCAATCCCCATTGATTATGATTTCATTGGATAAGATGTAATTTGATGCTTGATCAATTATCTTATTCAATGATCAACCACCAATTAATAACCAAACATTTTTTTATTTAATATTAATTTAAATTGTATTTTATTTATTTATTTATTGTTATAAATTAGATTAAAAGAAATTCACGGGAATAATTATATTCATCATGATTTGCACAGTGGTAATATTTTTTCATATAATACTGGCAGTAG